ATATATATATATATATATAATTTAAGATTCTAAATCGTGAAACATTTGTAATTAAGGGGACCTTGGTTCATTTTAATTAAGAAATGAGAATTTCGTTGCATTAATATTGTTCGTGCAAAGAATGTGAATCCTTCTCATAGATGATGCATTAATATATAGTTATCAGTACCATAAACCTAACAACAATGGTTGCACCTATGTTGAAGATGGAACAAGGTGAAGCGGAGCGCCCAGGTTGAAGCAATGGTGACGGAGCAAAGGTGAAAGCAGAGATGAAGCAGGCGATAACAATTATCGTAGCACAGAAGAGGGCATCAAATACAGGGACTAAGTCAATAACATAATAGAAGAATCAAAGACACGGTGACCGAGCACATAGAAGGAGAAGGACGAAACCATAAATTAGGAGAGAAGCAACAGCAGAATGAAGAGAGGTCATTTACGTAAATGACCTTAGGTGAATTTTTAATTAAATTCATGACTCTAAATTAAAAAAAAAATAGTTTATACTAAAAAAATATATTTTAATCAATAAATAAAATATTTTAATATTATAAATAAACATTAAATTATGTCAAAATGATGAATATATTAATGATGATTTTTTTATTTTGATTTTAATTTTAATTTTTTTAGGAATATATTGGTGATATTTTGAGGTTGGTTGAAATGGGTGCAAAGATTTTGAATGGCTCAAACGGGAAGGCTGAAAAATTCCAAATTTGAATATGGAAGCCGTGAAAGACGCGTAGAAAAATGGTAGTTGGCGTTTGTGAGGGGGTTCCAGATGGCAAAATGATAGTGGGACAAGTGGTAAGCGATGATTGGCAAGATCTAAAGAGAAGGCTGTCGGTGGTGGTGGTGTGGTGTTAAACTACGTATGACCACTGTCGGTGATATCAATGCTGCTGTCCTTCCATCGCTACCCACACGTGTCATGTCCTATTATCATCACTCCTTTCTCTTTTCTCCCATAAATATTTACTTTCTTTTAATTTTTAATACCAACTTATCAGTTTTTTTCTTGAAGAGTGTCTCAAAAGTTTTTTTTTTAAATTAATCTGGATATCCAATTCATTATACGAGTCGATTAATTCAAGAACGACTATCTGTTTTATAGATAATTCGGAGTTATTATATTTGAATCTCCGTGACCACAAGGAGATTTTTATTCCTCCTTGGATTTGAACTTAAGACCTCCCGATACTTTTGACATTTGGAGCCAAGTTCAAACCAATCAGGTAAGTTATTTCTCTTTTCTCCTAAGGTTGAATGTGTTATAAATTTTTATAAAGTTTTTAGAAATGTATTAAAATAATAAATTTATAAAATATTTTAATAATATAATTAATGTTAAAATAAGATGATTGTTGAAGTTTGAACATAACTTTTTAAGGACTTCGATTTTACATATTTTATTTTTTTTTAAATTATACCATAATATTAGAGATGCTTTTAAAATACCAAAATAAAAAATTGAACATAAACAAGGCAAAATATATTACTAACAATGAACACACATAGGTATGGGTAGGGGTGTTTATGGTTGTGTTGATCGGATTGAAGACATTTGAACAACTTAACCTAATGCTTGTGGTTTGAAAAATCTTAACTCAATCCAACCCAACCTAATGCTTGCGGTTTGAAAAATCTTAATTCAACTCAACCCAACCCGAAC